CTTTATAACACGTCAAATCTTCATCAATGAATCAATTCATTATTTATTGAAAGAAAGGGGAGGCTGTAGGTTGTAGGAAACGATTTGTTTCTGTCAGTTTTAGCTCTTGTAAGTCTGGCGCCCACCCCCTGGTTGGAGACAGGGGTGCAGAACCCATCGAAGCATAATTTTTCTGCACGCCGGGCCCCAGTTTACAAATTCAGTTATTACTATTATTACTAGCGACCACCAGGACGTTCTCATGAATACCTAGAGTAATAGCGGCGGCGGCGTCGTAACGTCGTCGAAAATTTTTCTCTGATCGTTTATGAGCCTCAAAAAATCAACAAAGCCAAGACTTTTCGCGTCGCTTCGCCTCTATAAAGCTGTGGGTGAATCACATGTATGTATGAATCGTTACGAACACCCGGCAGTCGGCCTGTTTTGACAACATTTTGTTGCCTACATAGTTGTTACTGTTGCTGATGTCGTCTATATTCTTTTTTTTTTTTATTCTCTCGTGTCTTGAAATGTATTCTCCGATAATGCCCCTTTCCGTAATAGCCATGAATAGTCTTGTTAATTCGACTTTTCAATCCATGAGGAATCCGCGACACCCCAGGACCAACTGCTTTGCGCCTTTGAACGACAGGGTCAGAGGAGAGAATTGCGCTTGGTACCGGCGCTGGTAAGTAGAGCCGCCCTCCAACGGGATCGCAGTCAGTGTGCAAACGCTTGCTTGGCTATTTTGTGGTTTTTTTTTTGTTTGTGTGTACTAACAAGTTTTTTTTTGTGTGCGAACGTAGCTTGCCCAGGCGTCTGTGACCGTGTAGTTGCTATTCTATTTACCGTTTCGGTACCTATATTATTTTTTTGTTATCTACTACGCGTAACTGGTGGTCATATCACAGTGGACGTTTCCTTAGAGGTCTTTATTCATTATTGTTTTATCAGTATCCCGTTATATGATTACTATTATTGTGATTACTATTACGGTTCCATTGAGGAACATCCCCTCGATATTTTCTAAGGGGACGACTTCTGCAGCAGCATCCACTGCCAAATTCAGCCCCTAGCGTTTACTATTCTCGCACACCCCAAGTCCGTCTCGAAGCGGTGGTTAGCATAGATTTGTAGGACAAATGGCAGTTGTACATAAAACCCAGTCCTAGGATCGGTGTAATAGTTCAATCACTTATGTGATTCGACCGAATATTTGCTCGAACGGCATTCAGTTGATGACATCAACCAATTTCGTCATTAAGAATATTGGTAACAGTATGGACTGAAGTAGAAGCTATCATTATGGCTCATTAACTTGGTTTAACTCTTGTTATCAATACAGGGATCGAGTTACTGATCAGACACACGATTGCCTTTTTTTTTTTTGCCACACGAACTTTCGATATTCAAAAGTTATCAATGTTCATCGCTTACTCTTTAATGAAATTTTATTCCGGTTTGTTTGTTCGTGTATCTGTCTTTTTTCATTAGTGATTGTTCGCTATTCACTGGATTCTGCGCTCTGGTTTATTCGCTTACATAGCTGATTGAACTTCCCTGTTTCTTCAGTTCTGTATGTTTGTTTGATGTAGCTCAGTGCTGTTCGTCTGCATTTCTCTCTGTGTCGTCTGTTCGCTCGCCTGCTTCGTCTGCATCTGCGGAACTGGTGTTATTGTTGTGTTTCGATTCACCGCTTGCATACATACATTCATTCATCCATCAATATAATTGTATTTGTTCGGCTTTGCTCGATTTGCTCAGTGGTGCATTTACTTCCATCTGCTGCTTACGTTATAGTCTATTCTCGTTTTATGTCGACCTGTGACGTTTGCACAATTTGCGCAATGCCTTTTACCGTACTCGTCGTAGCATGTTACTGTCGCTCTGTTGATGTTTTTGATTCTTTACATCGTCTGCGTCTACTCGTACATTTCGTTTCCATTTAATTCTTTGCTTCCGTGCTGATACCAGCCTACTTGTCAACATCATTCAGCCATCAGAATTGCCTTCATCGTAAAACTAGACGTTCAAGGCATTACCTGTTCTCTGCATCTGTTTAACAGTATAGCACTTCTTTTCCCTCGGTGTTTCGTATTAAACTAGTACGATAACTTTTCATCGTATCAGTAAAATCATCAGTCGGTGAATATTCGCATGTACGATTAATGCTGCTGCTGCTGCTGCTGCTGCTGCTGCTGTTGTTGTTGTTGTTGTTGTTATTATGATGGTTATTATTGTTTTTACTGCATTGGATTTGTTATTTAAAATCGTCTACTTTTCGTGCAGGTTATTCTCCTTTAATTTATGTTGCTTTGGAACATTAATTGTTCGTTCTATGGTCGCAATCGTTGGTTTTGCGGTTGTCGTTCGTCGTATTTGATTTTTCTGTGGGTGTTTGATTCCTTCTTCTTTGTTGTATTCAATACCACTATATTAACGTTTTTCTGGTTGTTATTGTTATCATTATAACGGTTGTGTGTTATGTAGACGGTGCGCAATTGCAGAAGGATAATTGCGTGCAATGCTTTGGCGCGGTGCGTTATTTTCAACAGTGCGAACAGGCGCGTGCCGCGCCCGAAGGACGGCGGCGCTTTCTTCTTTGTTATTTTGCACATTGCAGACAAAAATTGTAATATTAGCAATAATGTTTTTAGTAATCTTAATACTAATCAATTATCCACTTATAATAGAAAACTAATTTATTGGTTTCTGTCACCCGTGCATAACTAGCAAGCCATGACTCCTACCAGTCACTCAGATAGCAAGCCAACGACCCGGACAACTTTTTGATTCGCTGCTTGGATCGATCTGTGTTCTAGCGGAAGGGTGAAGCAAATAGAGAATCGATCGTCTTGACAATTGAAGGCATTGACCAAGTCTAGAAAAATGAATGGCACCCAGCTATAAGTGGACTGTTTCGGTAAGAGGCACAGCGTTTCGTACTTGGTGCTGAATTGCACCAAATATGGGTCAAGTGCATTTTTTCTAATGCTTCCACATAAAATGAGAGACCCTTGGCCCGTTAAATTCGGGCAAGCGTGTACGCTAATCACGGCCGTTGAGAGCCATCGGACAGACGTCAGCCTATAGCTACTTTAATGCTGTTGAGGCTCATTTTACTTTCCATTGTTCCCCTTCGCTTGCCACGATGCAGCGAAATTTGAGAGAAGTGTTTCAAAACAGCTTTCGGTAAATTTGGAGGGGTAAAGCGACGGATTGTACGTGGGGAAGATCTCGGAAATAGGAAGAAACGCGATCGTGTTCGTGAGTAATTGCACAGATGGCTGACGTTCAACATCAACAAGTAAATATATTGGGTCCGTTTGATTCTCCTAACAAATGAACTATATAGATGGGGATATTTCTGGGAAGGGCATAAACACGAAGCAACTGCGTACGGGCACTTGGTCCGATGCAGTGCGGTTGGATATGAATCGTAAATAATGATTATTATGTTTAATATAATTTTTTTTCACGCGTCTCATTCAGACAGTAATTGTTCTTTTTTGACTTTACTTCCTACGTCTATTCACAATTTCTCTATAATCAATGCTGATAGGAGTATTCCGCAGTAGCATCCAGTATTACTAGTAATGATGCTAGTAACAGTAATTCTTGTATAATGTTTCGTGCTGTGAACGACACACGCCTAATGAATATACAACGTCTGTGATCTGCTCCCCCTTGTTGCCTTATATTGGTTTAGTATTCTTGTAGCTATTATCATTGTTATGATCATTATTATGATTGTATATATATTACAGCCTACGGTGAGTGCATAGCTAGGAGCTTGTAGTCTCGACGGCCGTGCAGAGCTGGCGAGGTTAGCCGTGAAGGCGAGAGCGGTTTAAAGCTCAAGCAAATCGGCTTTCGATACTCGAGGCACCGCGTCCGCCTGAGGCAACATGGGTGGACGTGTGCACGCAATCCGCCATTTGTAGATACAAGGGTAATAAGCGAACTGCATGAGTACGCTACAGCGGTGGAGTGCGCGCCACTATCGATCCTGTTACCGGCCGACGTGCTTCGACATCTCAACCGATCACGAAGGTACTTTCTTCTCCGGGGAGCCTGTCATGAGCCGGGCGAGGATGCTCGTCTTTGAGATCTTCATCGTCATCGGCGTGATCTTCACTTTAATTTTTTTCTCTCTTTAGGACACTTATCATTGATCTTTCATAAATACTCCTCACAGTCACGAATAGTGCCCTCGTTGTATTCGTAGCGTTGCGTGGAAGCCTATGAAGAAAGGCTGCATGTCTTGTACAATAGCTTAAACTAAATCATTCTCTCCCTTTGTATTGACTTTATTTTACGTTCTATTCTGCTCGAAGGATGATTGCACCGCGTGGATGTCGATATCTGTTGAATGATAATGATGATGGTGATGATGATGGTGGTGGTAGTGATGATGATGATTGCCGTGATGTACCAAAGTCGTCGTACATTCTTAATTACTGATGTTCGCCATCTAGCGCCTCAAGGTACTTCTGATCAATGAAAAGTGTCACGACCTTATGGCTACAGAATCCAAGAAAATCAGAAATTATTGATTAGTTAAGTCACGCCCATATCAGATTTTTTTTCCAATAAAGAGCATGCATTTACCATTCGACCTCGAGGTTGTGAATGGGTCAATTAATATTGCAAGATTCGTTTTAAAGGATTCATAAAAGTATTTTACAATCAATTTTGTAAACGAGAGTGAAGATGCTCAAGAGTAAGGTCACAGTTGCCTGACGTTCCTATGCCGTTACGAGTGGAAGAAAAATGCTTCAGTCTCTCCGAGGATTCTTTAGATTTAGCAGGCCAGGGAAAATAGGTGAATGATTCTCTAAGTTCCAACCTACTCGCTGTACATGATTAGCTACTTATATATCAGAACTACATGAAGTACACGTCAGGTCGTGCTCCATCTTACCGTAGAGGTAGCAATAAGAGGATGATGACAGGAAAGACCATCTTGACGTAGGGCCATGGCGCAAAGCCGAAGAAGCACATCACGGCTAGCTGAACTACCTGACATATTGTGAACGCGTGGATTTTACGTTGAGGGCAGCGGCGGATGTAATGGTTTGGCGGATATGCTGCCTGCTCCATGAAGAGTAGCGTAATGCGTTCGAACATTTGATTACCATTTAACGAGGTGATCGCCATATAGAGAAAGAGGCCATCTAGCACCGCTGTTGGTATATATCCCAACGGATAGGGCAGTAGGAATATCGATAAACCGATAAGAATGTGCGATACGACCCCTGTTAGACGAGTTTCTCGTACTCGTACGATTCTGTAAGAAAAAATAAAACAGGCAAGATGGCACCCGAGGTTGAGTGTAATTACCTGTTAATTCATACATGTATGTGTATGTGTTGTCTATATAATCAGTATTTACTCATGGGGAAAGGAAAAGTGCATTTAATGATGAATATAATTTTGAACACGAACAAACAAATAGCCGTATGGCAAACAAGTGTTTCGAAATTTCCTAAGCTTGCATCTGGGTTATCATTGCAGCATGAATCGATGACAAAAAAACACTAGGAGATCTAAAGAAACATCTTTACATTCACCGTGTACGTATACTGTACCATTTCAAATTTTATCGCAAACAGCTAGAAAAGGAACGCGGCATTTTAAGAACTAATAGAGGCTATTAAATTTATTATATCATGAACTAATTTTTAACCGCCTAAATAATTATCGATCTGGCGGTAGCAATGGTTTTAAACGAACATTTCATAAACGTGTCCCTGGTCGACGCGTTCCTCCACGTCGGCCATGCCGCGCACGTGTAATGGCGAGTGCGGTAGCACGCCGTGCATCCATGGCAGTCCGTATAATGACAGGAACCCGTTCAGGATGCCCACGACAAACAGGTCCATATGGTACGCGGCGCCCTTTTTTAATCTGCAAGCAAACATCGATATAGTCGCTTTATATATATATATATATATATATATATATATATATATATATATATATATATATATAGAACTTACGCCTGTAACGTTATCTCGTGTCCTGTACAAGTTTAGATTTAATAGAATGCACATAACATAATTCTGCGTATAAAAATGTGCCAATTCACTCACAAAATGCATAGTAAGCATGTAATATAAATAATATAACTCAGTTAGAGACGACAGCGGAGTGGCTTATTTCAGGTAAAGAAGCCCTCGTCGTAAACCTGGGCATTTGGCCTAATTTAGTACGAAACAGCTTCAGTAAGTCTCTTAGTCATACTCCTCATCCGTAATATCATTCTTTTTTTCGCGACTTTCTTGATCGGCCTCTTGCTTTCGCTCGGCTACAGACAGGCATGACTTCCTTTGCCGCTTTTATCCTATATAAGTTTTATAAGTTTTTACCCATCTGCTCTCCTATTGTAGGTAGTACTGAGTCTGTGACCATTTACTCCGCCTGTTTCCCCCGTCTGGAAAAGATACTGTCAAATGCGCGCAAGCGTCGGCGGCACTGCACTCTGACTTCTCACTGATATAGGACTGTTCGCAAAAGAGAGCGCTTATAGGAGCTCCCCAATCCCCACAGTGAAGCACTTCTGCTCGGAGACGTCCGAACTTGTGGCCCATGGAACTGTCGCCTAGCCACACGAAGCCGGTGGCGGCTTATTTCGGTCCTTCCGGGCTGTAGAAAGAGAACGCAGACCATAGGAATGTATTCAGCGGCGACGTTGCACTGAACGTTCCTTCTTCTTACTGAGAAAGCGCCACATGCTATGCTATATTCCTCGAGACAGTGCCCCCTGGTGTTTTCCAAACAGTGAACGAGCAATGCTTGATGGAACTTTTGAGTCAAGGTAGCTATATCGCTATGGTGCGACCAGCTTTAACAAAGAAGTTGAAGGGCATGCCTTAGGACGGAGCAACTAGCGGTAGCCAGCGCTAGGGGCTCACGAAAGAACTCACAACGGCAGTCAGTTTACACGACCAGGGGAACTGACACTGATGGCCAATTCACCGAGTCAACTCGCCGGAAACGAGCTGCGTCTAGTCGCACGCTTTCAGCCAAAAGGATCTGGCCAGCCGTCGTTTCTATGAGCTTTCGCTTCACATGGCTACAACGAAAAAAGTTGGGTCGACGGTGGCGGTCGACAATACCAAAGAAAAACATTTTTAGGCCAGCGTAGTTTAGTGCGTGAGACAACAGTGACAGAAGAAAAGCCTAGAAAAGCTGCAGCCGAAGAAAACACGATGAGTGCAATCTGGTAGATTTTGAAGATCCATTTTAGCCCATACAACTCACTGAACATTCAGGCGTACGAGGCAGAAGATTTGTCAACTATTGATTCGTTCTGTACGCAAAACTTAGCATAGGAGTAACATTAGGGTTAACATTGTCGTTAGCGAGGGTCTCAGCAGATTGCCACTGATGACAGATCGTTTCGAAAGGAGCGACTCTAATCTTCATAGATGACATTAATATGATGTGGATCTCAGTATTGCACTATGAAAATATTTAACTAGGAATGATACGTTTCTTCAATAGTTAACCTTCTAGTTTGTACGACAAATAGTGTTTTTTATTGACCAAGCTGGAGCCATGGGAGCACAACAGTGAGAATTACTATAATTTAATCGGTTATTATGATTTCGACCATATTACTATAGGATTTATGCAAATTTTCGGGACTATCATCATGTAAACATCAGATGAAAATGTTGGCCTGGTCTTTCGCAAAAATGTTACTCCTGATCTGTCACAAAACATTGAAAATTAAATAATAAAAGATTTTACAAAAATGTAAAGATGATCGAGAACAAAGAAAACCAGAAAAAGAGAATCATTAAAGGAGCGTATATAAACAAAAAATAGTTTGAATTCAGTGGATGAGCAATGTATCTATTTTCGTTATCTTTAGTCATTTAGATAAGTTTTGGATAGTTTATATAGAATTTTCAATTTCTATTTATATTCAGTTTTTGTTTGCTTGGTTTTTAATTATGATTTAATCAATTTTTTAATTAAAGCCAAACGTCATCAAATCATCTACCACGAAATATCCCTCGTCGACGACCGAATACGTAATGCACAAGGGAATAAATCAATTCTCCTTCGAAACGTTTACTATTGAAATGAGTATGTGATAATACAGTTACATATAGAATAGACGAGGGCACATTTCCGAAACTGGTATTGTCCACATTCGACAAAGAGTAACGGGGCAAGCTTCTGGCAAAGCTGAAAAACCAGACGTTTTGATACCGAGAGAGGCCAAGCTCTACAATTGAGAAGTTTTAACTCAGCATGAAGAATCCACCCAGCAGGCTGCATGAGGTAAGCGCATGGTTGACGGGCTTCGTTAAAGGTTTCAGTCCTTTATACAGCCTCTGGTTCACCCTTGGCTGTTCAGGCAATCGGGCCACTATCGGAGAGATTCTGCCCCATAAAATATGGGACCAACCTTTTCCTGATCGTTCGCAACGCAGCCGACTGTGCTTCCACATTGGCGGACAACAGCCGAGAGACATTTCTCAACTGGAGAGCAGACAACAACGTCCTATGACAACAGTAAATTTGTCAAAGAGAAGGGGCGAAACTATTGATTTGTTGTGTGTTGTCAACAGTAGCAACAGCAACGTAAACGAAAATACAATTGAAACTATGGCAATAACTACGACGAAAGCTGTAGAACTGTGATTAAACTGGTACCACTCAGTGGCCTTTGCTCCGCTGTCCCCTGTTGGCCACGTTATTAACTCGCTTTATTTGTTGTCCACTTCACGGACTAACTGCTCTAGCGTTCGTCTGTTCTTCTTGTTCGTCGACATTTGAGCGCCGGCAAAACTGGCTTGCACTATACCACTATATATAGTTGCACGTAGATAGGTAGGCCAATAGTTGTTGGAGAGGGTATAGGCTAGAAATGAGGCGATAGCCAATCTTGTTAATCCTTTTCCACGGATCCAGCTGTCTGTATTTTAGCGCCTTCACTCGAGCCTGCTGAACAGGTTCCCCTAATTTGCCTATCTGTATTTAGTATGTCTTCCCAAACGTGAAAACAGTGGGACAGTTCCGAAAACGCGACGTTACTGCATTAAAATGAGCAACGTCACAGTCCGTTAACGCCGCTGGTTGTTTGCTGTTGACGCTCTACAAACATGTCGCCAATGTACGATGTATTCATTTCTGAAGAAAGTTATATGATAAGCTCGGCGTCTACGAGCAGCAAAACGAGCAAGATAATAATCTGAGATGTTACAAGCGATTATGCATTGCAAGTAGGATAATTTCACGAGCTTTTTTTTTAATTTCCAGTTATCGAACTCAGCTTGAGAGAATCAGTTGAGCTGTAGGTTAAGTGCTATGAGAATTGGGGTACATAATAAAACAACGAGTGCTGTCACATAATACTGCATGTGCACGTACTTGTTACAAGGATTGTTGACCATTGCAGCAGAGATATTCTGGTCCATAAAGAAGAGCAGCGACAGGGCAAAGCCTAGACCGCATGCCGCTACGGCAGGAATCCAGCCGAGCTCCTCGACACGGCCTCGTTGGAACTCTGCGGCTTCATTAAAGTGGAAACCATCAGTCTTCACCTCGCGGAAGAGAAAAGCGCCGAGACATGACAGCACAATCACGGCAACCGGCAGTGCGCAGTCCGCCAGAATCTCACGTTTACTCGCCTGCAATAAACAAACACGTTAAATAGTATCAAACGGTAATCAGACAACAGCTGTGTATGAACGTCTTTTGAGAATTTCTCCGTATAGGTAGTGAAGCTTTATGTGTCATCGCTCTGAAGTCGCCGTCGCACTCGATTATCTTGTAAATTTTGATGAATTCGTCAGTTACAATGCAATGCTTTACGATTCGACCGTTCCGTGGGTGCATTTACCGCTAATCTTCTAATTCCACTTTCTACACTACGGAACAAGTCGCAACCTCGTGCGCTTGTAATAATAAAAGTCAACCATATACATAAAAGTGGTTCAAACCTAGGTGCTGATGTACACATCTTCCGCACACGTTCCACTTAGCCCGTTCCATTCTCACAGAGTAAACTTCTTTAGCTATAGATACTCACAATGCCCTGAGGAGGAACTTGCTTGGCATTACGGAACAGGTAGCACTCGCGTTTCAAACTTTTTAACCACCCTGCATATCTACGCTACCCTTTCGTACGCCATCGTTATATTGTATACCGTACGCTGCAGATAGATTAAGATGACCCAGGCGCGCGGGTAGTATCGTTGCGACCTTGCTTAGAACGTTAAGCGCCATCGTATCACTTATTTGAGCTGGAGGTCTCGTTGCATGAATATGTTCTACGTATGTTCTATCGTGATTCAATCTATTTTTGACAGCCACCATTGCTGCGGCCCTTGTAAACGACCGGATAGCAACTCTTCGCGTTCGTCTCAAGTAAATGTGGTAAAATATAATAGAGTTTGTTGTGTAAACCACAGCCTGATTATCACATAGACCGCTTGTAGTCAGTCTTGAAACTGAAGCATGTTTTTCCTGTATTTGTATGGTAAGAAAAATAAATTTTGAGCTAGGCGGCGTAGCAAAGCTCAAACAAGTAATTTATGAATTACTCTCCACTGACAAGTTCTGTGACGTACTGGCGATGCGTAAAAACTGTCTTCAATATTTACTGGTGACCTAAAATATGTGAGTTTGTTTTCGCAGGTTAATTGATCAACTTTTCGGCACGGCCTGCGGCCGCCAAATTATTCGAATTTTCGCGCGTATATTAAGAGAGCGATTTTATTCATTAATAATTAGTTAGACTTTTTTTTTTTCTGTGAAAGTGAACGAACTGTGGTTGAGTTTTTGGCACGTGACGTCCGCGGGCAGGATTGCATTCACTTTAGTACGAACCCGTATAAAAATGTCGTTCGTACCATAGCGTCTTCTGGACAGATTAAGCCCATCCAGCAAAACTAATCCACAATATTAGTGTTATAGGTGTTTGGCATTATATATAAACATGCTGCACTCGTTTTTGGAATACTCTATAGTTATTACCTGTAGGTACGGCGTTTTATTGAAGTTGTATAGTGAGACGGCGAGCCAAACTGTACCGAGCATTAACAGGAGGAAAAGTAAGGAGTTCTCACGTTGGCAACCAGTGTGTTGAAGATGTCGCAATAATCCACTTTCGTTGAGCAGTTGCGGAAGCAGAGAGCTATTGTTTACTAGTTGGCTGAGCTCGCTTACATTGAATGATCGTGAGCAGTTCTTGTGGTAGTAATTCTCCTGGAAATCTATTCGAAGAAATGAAAACGCAACAGACAACTGCCTAGATTAGATACACGTTCATCAGTAATCTGTCTAGCTATTATATGGAATGATTTTTATAATTATCGTAAGATCTTGGGTAATCAATATCCTCTTGCACCGTTCAGCTGATCGATCGCCGGAACCGCGATGCAGTTGCACAAGCTTCTTGAGGCAAAAGCTTTTTAGAAAGTTTCATTAAATCAATGGTTATTAATATCGCCATTGTTATCTAATGTTTGTGATCACATCTTTTTTTTTTTTATCTCGAGTTCAGAACTAAGCTGTTTTCAACAACACAAATTAAGATTTTGACTACTGATGACCATAATGATATGAGCATGAATATTGCCGCACTTTCTGGCTATTATTACAATGAACGATATCATTGCTATCAATTCGGGCTCAATGTTACTTCTTTAATCTCTTCTTTAATAGACACTGATACTTTCTTGCGTAGGGTTTAGATTGTCGCTTACTTTTGTAGATATCTCGGCCGGCGTCCACAACGAAGGCTATACTGATAAATAATGCAAAGATCTCTTCCGTAGACCTGCACCGTATCCATGTGGCGAACCCGTAAGTGAGTGAGGTAAGCGTCCATTCAGGTGATGATTGCATTAATTTCAATTGAAACATTGTTAGTAGCCATATCTTGCAAAATGCTCCATGTGACAGTTTTGTTATCAAACGTATATATATGTATGTATTATACTGATTTAAAATGAAAATTATGGAAGCCAAGTATACGAGTTGAGTCACGCCATACGCTCTCCGGCTTTTTTATTTACGATTCATTTACCTATTTTTTACAGTATGTATATTGCCAGCTATAAGCTTTCCGCAGAAGTGTGCCAATGATACTTCAGAGATATCCCTAATATGCACCCGAATATCGGCACAGCAGCTACCTCAAAGTCAACTCAGAATATAGGATTCGTATTTTTTTGCTATGGTCTGACCAGTATGTCGAACATATCATCTAAACTATTCTACCGAGTCGAGTTAACTTATGAACTACTTCAAGTTAGCATAAATATAAGTAAAGGCAAGCAGAATCAGGACCCGCAATCATACATATGACATTTGTTTATAATATGTTAGGTGGATAAAACCTGCTTAAGGCCGTCTATTTGCAACAAACGCATTCTGGTTTATTTTAAATTACAACTAATGTCATCTCTAGCTGCAGTGACCCATAAAGGGTCCCCTAACTGTCCTCAAACTTGACACGCCACGAGTTCCATGGGCCACAGTCCCGATTCTCTGCTCGTCCCTCTAGTCTTTGTTCCTGGCATGAGACAGTGTTGTCGTCTAAAAAGCACCAAGATACTACTTACACCGCATTGTTAAGAATTTAGCGCGCCTATCCCTGTCCGTCTCGGGCCTTTGGTGACAACGAAACGGAGGTAAGCCAAAATATAGCAGCAGGTAATGTTATAGCGCAAGCCGGATGACGCTCATAGATTTAATTAATACCGGCAGCATCGGAGTCAACCATAATAAAATGGACGTCCCCATCAACAGCTGGACAAAACCGCTCTTCAATCAATATTAAGCGTTCCCGAAACCCAATCAAGCAGATCCGGGCAGATCGACGAGCAAGTAAAGCGCTCAACACCAGTCTGACGAACGTGAAACTGAGACACAATCGTTTCGAACTTCTTCCAGGGAGGTCTATCGACATTGTACAGGGGATCGGATAGAGGGGAAAAAATGTCATAATATTTACAGGCGATAACGACAACGACAACATCGGAAGGAGAACAGCCGGATAAAACTATTTTATTTATGCGTATCTATATATATATGGCACCTTGTTTAATCAGAAACGAGCTGCTTCTACAGATAAACTTTGGGCGAGTTTTATGTCACTCGTATATCGTAGCGTTTCACCAACGGCTGTATTTGCTGCATATGATAAATTGTTGATACACATATAAGGTTTAGGGCTTGAAGGTCATAAAACTAGTCATATGACGAAAAACGAGCATAAGTCTAGTATTCATAGAATGTAAGGACCTGAACGCGTTGGTATATATTGCAGATTATAGAAAGAACTTAGAAAGGATTAAACGAAGGCTGAGTGCGTACGACCTGGCTCATATTTGTATCCATTGTTTTCATATAGAGAGAGAGAAATATTCTTTACTTGAAGGCTATTTGTAGGTATATTTTTGCGGCACATGTAAATCGACAAGAGCTAGTGAAAGCAGCCGCAAACGCTGACCAAGACGTATCATTGTTTATGAATAGCATTCATGAAGAAGGTTCCCTACTTAAGTGTCTCTCATGTTATAGATAACGATTTATGTTAGTACACGACATTTTAATGTGACAAAGTCAGTAAATATCTGACTATGATTCTCATATAGAACACAACGGTAACGTGAACTGTATATGTGTGTATATTTCATAACCCACCTTGTGCACCACTTCATGAGCTTGGACGCGTCGAATAATGCAAAGAGAACGAGGAAGAACGTGTTCCACAATCCAACGCACGCATACATTGCGTAAAAATCCAGTTGGAAATCTTCACAGATATTGTAGATCACTGCAATGCCGGGTAGAACGAAATGATACATTACTGAGTATCATGTGTTAACCATAAATGTACGGGTCACTACTTAAGTGAACGTTGAATTTTTCACTCGACAACAAGTTTATCGTGTTCTTTTCGTATTTATTTATAGACGATTGTGTTTAGCTGACCCTTACAGAGGCTCTGATCATTAGGTCTATCGTATTGTATGTACTGTGAGAAAAGCTTCTAGGGACTATTAGACATAACGGTGACATGTCTGTGCCTGAAAATGTTCTGCGCATCTTTCCGGTAGCCTACTACCGTAAAACAGATGTTTAATGCTAAGCGCTTACGTACAACTGTCGCAAGAACAGCGGGAACATTACATGACCCAGCGTGCCATATTCAATTGACATTTGGGAATAGAACTAATTGCTGACGTAATACGTTCCCCAGTTTTTTAATGACTTTAAATGCTTTTTTTTAATGACGAACGCTGCGAATCGTCCGTTGCTAACTAACACTACCTGTACCACTACTAAGAAAGGCGAGGATTCTATTTCGTGCCAGACGAGTATTTGTTACTTACCCGAACTTCCGTGAAATTTGTACGTCCGCATCTATTATGCCTAATCATTGCATACAAGAATACGTATATACTAGTAGTAATAATTTACGTTTTTTTTTCTTTTTTTTTTTGTTCAGGCTCCGAGATCTAATTCTCCATGTGTATAAAACGCCCTATAGTCCTTGTAAATCGAGTTTTATGTTATGAACTCAAAAAAATATTTATTAGTAACTTTTATATCTGCGGTCCTTAAACTAGTACTGCGTAATGTATATTAGCATGGACAGCCTAATTGAGGGGGATAATTTTTTTAGATATATTTTTTAAAAACTGCAAGGGGGTATTTCTTTGTGGAACAACTTGGAGCAAGTGGCAAAATTGCCGCCAGGAACCAGAAAAGCCTGTGAAGTTCAATCTACCAGCTCACGTGTATTTGAAACTGTCGACCTCGGCTATCTAACTAGGAAAGAAAAGGGACAGTTATCTTAAAGCCAACTTAGTAGTAACCACTGGAAGTAGTGGAGTTATCCATCTTCTTGCGGTTAGATGATCTGATTTTTGTTAAAATCAACAAAATACTTCTTTAGATTTTTACTAGTGGCCTAACCAATTCTTCTAAAAGAAGACTGAGTGACAAGCTATGTTCAAGAAGTTGGAACACTTCTAGGGCCGGATCTTCTCGAAAGGTTGTTGACAATGCATTAAAACTATTTTCAGTATTCGCTCTACGCGATTACGAAGGCAATCGATTTATATTGTATGCTTAATCGAACGTTTGCTTGGGCTTACTCGGCGTTGTTTCAGACATACACATTTATATAACAACGGAGTCAGCGCATCCCTGGTCGAATAAAGACCTTCCAACTGCTAATACTCGACGCTCTAACACAGTCAATTTGGGAAGAAAGTCTAAAAGGGTTTTGTCAGCAATTCCCTTGACACAAATTTAGAATCCTATTTTTTCTCGTGTACTGCTTGCGCATATAGAGTAGATCTTTTTTGATTCTGTCCCTTTCTTCGATCCACCGAGTGCATGCAATGACGCAGATCATACCGACAACTACAATTATTAGAACCTTTTATCCTAGGTAGACGCTTGAGGACTACTGGGCGCGTCCTTCAGCACCTTACGCTACGCTTAGTAGCACTGTTCCAATAACGGCCTTCCATTGAAGACTAAATATACGATTCAAGTCGTTCTAAGTCTGCAGTCCAGACTTCGCTTCGTGTATGCACGCGATTCAAGCGTCCACGTATTCCAACGAAAGTTCGAGAAGACTCCTAAGGAGTGTGACCGTTTTGATACGTTCCCTTGTTGGCCCAAGTTCGAGGGACAGGACAGGCTGGATCATCGAATAGATTGACGTTACATACAATTTCTATCTGATTCACAACACTTATATGGGTAACACGCAGAACGTATAATCAACAAATGACATTGTTAGAAGCGTTGTGTTCGTCAACGTAGTCAGACTGCTTTTCCAATCCGGAATTTTAGACTGTGTTTAAACGCAGGTGTCGGTCCTTTAATTCCAGCTAATAGCGAATATTAAGCAAAGAACTTAGAAAGAAATGGCAAATTCTCCGCTCCGCATGTTTTTTGTGGGTCGACTTTTGCCCTAGCCGATTTTTGCAGGCAAGTCGATTTATAGCATTTGGAAGCGTTAATTACGCTCGAACGCTGGTATAAAGATAACGTATAAGCAAACAGAAATACAAAAAACACAGTAATGGAACATGCTATGTATTTTTCGTTGTTTCCTTTTTCACTGTGGAAAAGAATGGTGTGTTCAAAGTACTAATCATTCTCCCATATTTGTCAGATCTTCAGGTTAACGCACACAAATTACGTCTAAGAGGGTCCGCTGAAGACTTAGAGGACATAATGAAGACAAAACAATATCGAGCCATTCTAGAATAATAAATAAAGTGTTAACAGATTTCTTTTATAATGGTGAAAAAAAGGTGGATCGATGTTACGTTTATCGAGCTCCATTCTCTAAGAAGTCTAATAACGACCGAAGGTAATATATTGTATAACGTACTGGCTATTAGTTGAAAATATCTGGTCGCATTGCTAGGTCGCAGAAACTACTATCGTATATATTGATATGTGTTACCATATCTATTAAGTTATAAAGGCGAACGACAAGACACGCGTTCCTGAAAGTAGGTGGAAACCTTCATGCGAAGTAGAATTCTGCAGAGAGAATTTCAAAAGGACGTTACAGTTAACCTGCTGAATAAAGACGCAAAGCGTGAGGCTAAACGTATCTCGCCTGCACTAACGTCTCCATATAGTAGAACGGACAACGCACATCAGGGACCGGCCTCAGACGAACGATCTTCCAGTGTTTACTAATGAAAATAACCGCATGCAAAAAAGCTAACCCATATGTCATTTCTGATCTACGTGTTTCATATGAGGATTCTCCACTTGCTTGCCATTTCAACGAATACTCTCTCGGTCTGGAAACGTTTCGAAGGAAACGGTCGATAATTATGCGTTCGCATTGGATATCTGTACCTCACATGAGTAGCGAGAGAAGCTTTCAGTTGCATATTGATATTATTAGTTTGAAGAACTTTGCAAAATGGCAGAGCTTGAATGTATAAGGGAAGATGATGTCTTTATTGGCTTGATTATGACACGAGAAAACAAACTATCTAGCAGTGCAGCTCATTGAAGGTGAGCTGACCGTCGATACAGACCGATTACAGATTACAGGAAATGTTGTTTACCTACAATGGGGCCTGACATAAATTTAGTAGTAAATACAAAACAAAAGATATATGAAAAAAATTTTATCTATGGGTTTATAATGTTACAGCAAATATCATATGCAACTTTTCACCCATTATTCCAATTCCATATTTTTCGCGTACTTAATTATAGTCAACTTTGTCGGCATAGGAACCTGCATTATCGATACAATTTTACGTTCATTAAGAACAGTTTCAGGAAAAAGCGAAAACTTTTATTTTATTATAATAATTTTGTTATAATAATATTTTATTATAATTATTTCGAATTGGAGCAATAGAAGAATACGTATTTATACATATAAATGCCTCGTAACCGGCTACCGCTTCGTCGAGTGGGCAAAACCAGAGAAAGTCAGAACAGTTTTTAGTGGAAGCGGGCAATTCCAGAAATAACAAACAGATTGCCATTGATGGGTATTATATTTGTGGTCCTAATACCTGCTTAACGTTAGCAGGCTTGTCTTTGGGTCACCGTCGGGTTGGACTATAGTTTGAAGTGCACAATAGCAATTCGGCTCACGAATGAACATTGTGTACCTGTAGAAGTAAACACAGTATGCCCCGCTGATGGGCTATCGACATCTAATATACAGTAAGCCCCTCAGGTAGAATGCCTAACATCAAACCGTGCCAACCCTACCCTGATGACTTGAAAAATAAATCTTTACGACGCCACCGCACTTTTTTTGTTATCCTATCCTTCAATAACCTGTTCTAATTAGTGTAAATGACCCGTTAGCTTTAACCCTCTACTCCCGTTAGTGCGCTGCTGTCCATCGATTCTGCTGGTGTGGCCCTAAATCCAGTTAGAATCAATTATAGTTATAGCTGCGACTCCCCTCCGCTGTAGAGATCTGGTGAACCAGGTCAACATTTTAGATAATCTAACTAGACACGTGTGTATAAGCCCGAGTAAATATTTACCAAACTACACTTAGCATTTCGTCTCGCTAATTCCCGAAGTTCAATCGGTCTTACCTCGGAACTTGAAGCCACGAAAGGCGTTGAACCAACTAGCACAATACAATATGATTTCCGAACATGAAGACTACAAAGCTGCAAATAACCGAAATTACCCGAACGTACCCGCCTGGAGAGAAGACATTTTTAAAGGGGTCGACTTACATGAGGTTTCGTAGACGCGTACTTTCGATCGAGATAATGCACTCGCCAGTGGGATTTCTAAAGTTAGTTTAAATAGATGAGAAAGTAAGTGGCCAGGTGATCGGGATATAAGCGTTTGGAAAACCTGTTTGCACCTATTCTTGAACAACTAAGTTATCCTAGAATTGAAGCTGGATTGCTTTTGTCTCTCCTCAGACCAACGATGTCGATTGAAAGTCGAGATGTTGAATTTGATGAAGATGACTAGAATCACTGATACAGGTAAGCGCAAATAACTGTTCTCGTGATACCCTTGGCGGATAACATAGTTTCCTGCTAATCTTAGATACAGATGCTGATCGTGTTTCGACTACGGGCGTGGACATAGTTTGTTTCGTGCTAGGAGCCGGTCGTCCGATAAAATGTTTGACGGTAATGTTAGGCGTTGCGTGCTGCTATCATACACTGTTTTTAGCTTCGCAGCGTCCAATCCTCAATAGAATCCGATGAAAATTCGGAATCAAATAAGTATTTGTTTACGTAATCGATTTGCCAACGATTCGTCTGCTCTGTACCTAGTAGAGCATGCGCAAAGGAAAATAACGCCTTACCTTTTATGTACAGTGAGAGCGGGGCAGTTGTCATGAGTATGACTAACGGCTGGCCCCCAAATAAGGCGAATGTCAAACCGCCAATCGTCTGGCTAATAATACTCTTTCGAACGTCTGCAAGTGAACAGGTGGTAGATTAGAAGTTAACTCGGTTAAAATTAGAAGTTAATTGCACGTGAGCGGACCAGGTGACCCACTGTATATACCTAAATACTGATCGTTTTACATTCCATTTGTGTAAGTAAATGAAGGTATCTTAGAAGACAGACAAGAAAAAGCTCAACATATTCGTTAAATTCGTCAAAACAGTTCGTTAAATTACTGCAACTAAGCTACAATTACGATAGATTTATGTCGAAGTTGAATGTAGGCAAGCAAGGAGGTGCAACAGGTTTAAACTATAACGTTTGCATACGGTCGTACATTAACTATGCCTTTGCTTGACGAAATATTTAGCTACTTTATTAAAAAGTGAAGCGTTCAAATCGACAGCTTAAACAAATGGTAACTCCCTACCTCCATCGTTATACAAATAACTGGCCATTCTGTGACCTGTTATTGTGTTGTACTAAGCATTTAGGTGCGTAACGGTAGCTAAACTGGAACCTACTGCTTTTGCACCAGCTGAAAATATCAGAGGACAGCAATGGTAAAACGAACCACGGGCTTGTGACTCTAGGAAGGATTAGAAAGTTTTTTCGTTGTAAGACCATGATCGACTTATATTCTCACCACAAGCTAAGGTCTGTCAGTATCTAGTGAGAACAGGAGCGATCACAGTGGGTCGAACTAACTGGGCGCCTTCAAAAGCTATGACTGGGATAGCATTTGCGAAGCGTAAAACCACTCCATATACCGTTTCGTGACATTTTGACGGATATCCGTGTTGTGCCGTTGCCGACTGATGGCCCAATCATTCTACGAAGGAACACTGGATTGTCTTGCTACCTCTATCCTTCAGTCCCTTAAAGCCTTGCGCTGCTCTTAAGAGTGAGACGCAACGAGTTATACAGTTTTATAGTTCGACAGAGGTAACGCAAGATTATAGGAACGACGCCCAGCTTTTCTAACGATATCTATTAATGATCTGTTCCATCACAATAGATTTGTCTTAAGGAACAGAGAAATTGCACAGGGTCGTCATCATCAAAGTGTACAGTTAGTGCCACATCCGTATATTTTCACGTGCACCAAATACAAGTACTGAACAAAATAACTTTACAGCTAATATTTGCGGCGCCCAAATGCAATAGATACTTCCAAACACTATGGATGTCATGCTGGCAACCGTACTAAGCTGGCTTCATGCAGTGTTTTACTTTATTACATTGGGCACTAGAAAAGGACAGACGCTGCCCTAGTATAACCAGAGTGTCATCTATTACTGATGATCAATTAAGGGCGGGTACAAATGCCCTTTTTTGTCCTAAGCAGTCAGCGCGCTTAGGTGTTTAGGGTAGCTGTAAAAAGGTACCATACGCACACACATACATGAAAGATCTATGGGCTAAATATCATGCACCTTCAGAATGTTACAGTGGAAACGATCAGTACAAATTTCCGGTTAACGGTGGTTACGGTGAAGCGTTTCGGTCGTAGACCAGAGCTGCCGCATGTTACTGTCACCAGTTGCAGGAAATCAGTGAATAAATAAGGTAAATTGAGTTGACTTACCTCCTGTGGCGTCAGCAGCACGACAGTTGGCGAAATAAACAGAAATCGTTAATCTTAAAGAGCAATGAAACGTACCCCGCCTCCCGCCCACAAGCAATGAGGTATAATGATTAGCTGTGATTAGTACTCCTTAAATGTCTACATTTCTGTTAAAAAAAAGGCTACGTTGTCTATGCACATTGACGATATTGATAGAATATCAATTCATTTTGCATATGACTAAAACATTTTAGTATGACTAAGTATATATATAGTTATTTTGTATGGAGGGGGGCACAATGTTAAGCCTCTAAGCTGATGCGAAGGGCACAGTCGATTGATTACCTTTTACATTGGTTGCAGACTGTTTAGATCTAACCATGTAGCTTCACACGGGGAAAGCCATATTCTAGCATATTTCGCTTAATGTTTTTCAATTTGCCCTGTTCAATAATTATTATCAATAGGTTATATGAATCACTGTATCAGTCTAGTTTTTGTTCCTAGCCCTTGACCGCTCAACTCTTGATCGCGCGTACGATTCATGTTTATCATCCACGAGTTGCATAGAGCGAGGAGAGCAACTGGTATGTGCGATGCTCTTGAGGAACTTCAACGGGTCAGGCGGACTATCGGTATCTACGAAGTAAGAGTTTTGTCCGTTTTTCCCGAAACTCGTGGTCAAAAGCGTAAGACCCAAATTCAATCATGGCTTCTGAGCTTCATTGTCGGCCTTTGATCTCTACCTTTGTCTCTTTTTCCTATAGAGTATCACACAGCAGCTGTTCAGTAAGTAAGTGACTCAAAAGCATTCTCTCGTAAAGCTTAGGATGAAGAATGTCTGCGAGCACGCATTACGAGGTATGACCCAACTCTTTTGCTGTTGGCCACAACGTGACCCAAAAGGTATATCGCGAAAGTTCGCGGTGGGTGGTAGGTGGGGAGGGAGATATATCAAAAGATTGTGTTGTTCTAGTGTATTTATTCAACCCGAATCAAAGAATCAGTTTAAAAAAAGCCAGCGAACACAGCAAAACCCATCGCTTGACCGAGCTAAATTGTTTCCGACATGTTATGCAATAGGCAGAGCTGTACGCCAGATACTACGTGCAGTTTCTGGTCTTCGAGTGACCCCGAAGGATGTTTAGGAGAGGTCAAGCCAAGCATTCGGCTTGCCAAAACTGAATCAAAGGGAGCGTCCGAAGGGGAAGAAGAAGCTTTAGGAATGCTTCTTTCAAAAGGACATCGTCACTTAGTCGAATGTTTTAGAAGACAGTATATAGCCTGACCCAACTTCGGTAGTTTTAACCCTTCAGAGAGTTAGCAAAAATAGTCTCCATGAGAAGTCAAGCTTTTTGAAAACAGTTTCTATCGAGACATGTTACAGATAAACAGCCCACAAAGATGACAACAGAATGTAAAATGTTCTCGCTTGTGCAGAACTAGATTGCGGTATAAAGTGAAGTAAATTTGTGGTCGAATTTAACAGATGCGATTGTATGTACAGCTAAAATGTGTGGGTTAAATTGAAATTGGCCTAGCCATACATTGGTACGGATATTGGGATATGTGACCTTTAGGCCTTCTGAGATAGTGGATGAATATAGCGCTTCTACTTGCACGTTGGTTAGTACATTTGCCAACCATTGAAATCGATCTTTTCGTTTTACTTTCTATTAACAATTATTTTACTATTTTGTATGGTATCTTTCTAGCAGTCCAATACCACACTGCCCTTTGTAAACTGGTTTAATCGAAGAACTCAAGCCGGCGATTAGCGTACTGTTTTTCATTAGCGTACGATCTTCTTCGCAACTCCGATACACGATACAACTCTGTTCATACTTGGCCCCATTAAGTTTTATCTTTTAATCAGCTATCATCTATGGAACGATCTATAAATACTTAACCACCCCGTGCGCACTGCGGTTCTGAAATGAGTTTGAGCTAACGAGAATATTTATCTGAGGTATACGATAAAATGAAAAAAATGTTATTTTAAAGCGTCACAAAGATATTTGTTCACAGGCCAACCTACCGATTCTCAACATTCGTTCAGCATGATGCAGTGACCCAGATGACGATCATATTTACGTGTACAATGATATCATACAAATATATAGATCAAGGTTGATTATGTGCGCTTACGTGTGTGCTACAAAAAGCAAAAGGACTGTTGAAATTCTGCATTTAACATTGTCACTATACAACGACACAGATAACTCTTGCGCCAAAGGTAAGGCAGGCAGTTTCGACAATGCGGTTATCAACTTAGCACCTCTGAAACAACGTTGATTTTAACATAAGTTTTAACAAAATTCGAATGATTTTTTCGCAGTTAGCAAAGAGCAATTCGTCTGCGTCTCACAAGCTAGACGTAAAACACTCTCAATAAAAGAAACACTTGTATGCCTTAGTAACTTCGTTCGGTTCTCTACATCTAGCCAAGTTCTAATTTGCCTATAGCTAATGAATGAATGAATAAGTTACTAAGTTATGAACTAGTTAAGTTTAGAAGGAACATATTGATCGGCAGATAAGTACTTCTAGAAGCTTTAAAAAAAATTCTTGAACTACAAAAATTGTTGTGCGAAATGACTGCCTACTCGGAAAGTGTACTGGTCGTTTCAGGTAGAATTCTCTAAGGTAGTGTAATAGGACGATCGAGCGCTTCTGGGGACAACTATACGTGTCTTATACATACATTAGTACTCTAGTGAATATTTTTCTATGAAGATAAGCTCAGTGGCTTGCCGACTGGGTAACCCAGTGCGCGATTAGTGATAGGAACAAAAGGAGTTCAATAGGATGAAACCTGTATCAATATACATGAATCTTCAATCGATTTCTTCACGACAACTTCTAGCAATAAGCAATGCACGATCACTATTCGAGGTACGCAAATTGGCAAGCTATTTTCGATTAGAATTAACCAGTATCACCACTATCCAGCAAGGAACACTACATAATTTCATTCAACGCAGAACTCAATTTCTTTCGCACCCCTCTATACGTAAAACCCAATCTTTCGAGTATATTATAATAACACGCGCAGCACACATTCGCACGCGTCTACGTGTGCGCGGATTTGTACAAGAATCGTAGAATCGCACCCCTAAGTAGGCATGAGTCGGAAACGCATTGCATGCCCGAAGCGCACCTTTAGGGAACTCCCACTGATGGATCCATTTACTCTAAACCGGTGTGGCCTTTTTTCGCCTTTAAGAATAAATCAGGTTAATTTAGATATTGAATCTGAAAGTCCATCTATTTTTTCGCCTCGGTTCAGATCGTTGGGTGCAAGGGGAGGAAAGCCTCCGGAAGCCAAGGGAAGAATCCAGCTAGTACTGAGTTTATTACTTCTAAAACCTACGCATAATAGTATATCAGTGCAATAATGAGCCGGTGCACATATATAACTAGTATTTCTATTGTCAGACGAAGCAAATCTGACCTACGTATCTGCTTCGTCGTCGGTCCATTTAATTTCGCATTTTTCAGTCCATTAGGCTATACCTAGGAGTACTTTAGTGAGTGACGACAGACCTCTTTAAGCACAACACAACTCGTAGTTAGCAGAATAGAAAACATCGGTTAACAGCCATTTCTACTTTATATATTCTAATTAAGGGCCAAACCGCTGCGACTTAGCCAGCTTCGTCTTATTCTCATCTAGGGCAAATGGAAAAGATACATAAAAGACGTACCGATTTTCCCGGCGGTGTTCGTATCATTGAGCGCCCCAAAGGCGATTGTTGGTAGGAGGCAAGCGAAATAGAGGAAGAAAATCGTGGACACTGTTTTGTAGATCGTTCGGTGTCCCACCACACCTACAGCGCATTTTTATGGAGAAATTATTCATATAATTAGTAAGAGCGTGATGTGTCTGCTCGTTGCTAGGCTTTTGACCTGGAAATCTTTCCCTGCAAATAGCTATGTAGTTAAATAATTGTACTTATTTAGTTGGAAATGGTAATCATTTGTTGTTAGGTAATGTTTAAGACAATTCCAGTGGGTACTAGTCTTCATCTATCGAAGATGGTACTTTGCCCTGTTCGCTTAAGATGACACATTTTTACGGGACCTAACAAGTTAGAATTCAATCCGTCAACTGCATCGTGCATAAAAGCAGCATTAGCTCCAGACTGATTAGATTACGTTTTTTGTATTCATTTTTCATCCAGCTACATACGAGCATTCGAAATAGTAAAGTAGTTTAAGTGAGTACAGACACTTGATCTGTGCCCTTAAAAGCGACACCAAGCTTCTATCGCTTCCGGACACGCCGGAGCCGTCATGTCAGCTAGGCGACATGGCCAAAAAATAGCAGAAGTAGCAGAGGCTGAAACGTTATTTACTAAGATCTTTTTCAGTTGCCCATGGCCCAATTGACAAGCCGTGTGAAGCATTGTCGCTTCCCGATCATGGTAATGCAATAATGTGTTTAGCTCGCGATTTGTAGGCCGAAAATTTGAAAGCGAATGCACCTTTTACGTTGATGAAGCCTCGATAGCTGTATGGTTAATGGATGTTTCTGTTTTGATAGATAAACCAAGTTTCAGTATCGTGTATTAAAAACGAAGACACAAGAATAAATCTGAGGCGATTTGTGCTGACTTCAGCTCTGATGCATTTTTGTGTTCTATATGAACGGATTCATTTTTGCCATCTCTGCTGTAACCTCTGTACATGTCTACTGTACAATTGTACATTCGGTGGAATTGGCACCGTTTGAAGTGCTTGTTTATCACTACTAGAATCATACGAGTAATTATTAGTATTATCAATAATCCTAGTAATACATTTAGCTAGTTAAATATTACAGAATACATCCTACCGTCGATGTAGTCGGAGACGTAATGGGCGAGTCGACGGCGGATATCGTCGTACAGGCCTTGGCCTATGATGCATTTTCTCTGCAAGGCCAAGGAGCACAAAAAAATATCGAAAACGCAACAGAAAAGCATCGATTCACAACAACAACAGCAACAAAAACAGAAACGGGAACGCAATCACAAAAACAAAAAGATGGCATGTATCCAATAAATTAGATCGATCAGTCGCACGTATGTAGGTCGCATGAGGAGACACACGATAGGACCCATAAAACAAGACGAGAAAGCAGGAGCCAAACAGACAGAACAGACAGGTATCGTTAGTTATACGTCGACGGCGTGTCCAGCTTGAATGCTGAACATTGCTTAGTATAATATATGGAACACGATACACCTGCTAATTTTTAGTGACTCACGTGCTTCGAGTAGGTTATTGCTGAAGTGGGCTATTTTGAGGCGCGCTTACCATACGAAAAGTATTGTTTATTTATGTAAGTCGTGGGTAAATGCTACAAACAGATAGGATTTCGATTGTAGCATATACAGCTTGACAGATTTGACATTGACAAAAGGAGAATGAGCCAAGCGAAGCTGCTCAGGAGCAAATTTCTCCTGCCCCTGTTTTCCTTTTGATTCACTGGAGCCGTGAGGAACGACTACGGAGTGCATCCTTGCCTGATTTGGAAGTTTCTACTAAGTTCACAAAGAGGGCTTGAGGGGAGTGGGACGTAATGAGTCTACGCGACGTGAAGGTTGATTTGAGATTGTAACGATTTGGCGACAATTGCAAGTAGTTTAAAATGAGGCAATCCAATATCATTAGCTATGTCTATTCTTAGCTTAATTGTAGCAGCGTCACACGGAATATGTACGCTTCATAAATCGGCTCTTCATATGTTGCCTTAAAATTTGCTTAGGGATATGGGACGGCAAATGTATACACACGCAGTGTTGCGTACTGAAATATCTAATTTTTGTCTAATTAGACTGAAATCCGTTTGGAATAATTGCTCCAGAAGGGTGCTCTACCTTATAGTTAATATATTTAATTTCATGACGTCTTTGTACAGTATCTCTGTCCGATGTGACACACCTTCGTAATGCATTGGCTTCGGTATGAAGCTAGAGCTCCACACCTGCATACGCTCCGTGCGGCCACGAAAGTTACAGAATTGAGCCGTGTCGCAACTCCCGTAACGGACGCAGAAGGGTAGATCTTGCAACATACAATCGTGCAGTCTAAGATCCAAGCTGCTCTATGATCTAGATGGATCGACATGGCGATTCAGCTCGCCACCGATTATGACTTCTCTATACTACAGATCTACGCTACGTCAGAGTTACTGGATAGAGATAATTTTAGCCGCAGCTTCCTAGCCTCGAGAACGCACCAGAGTCATTGGTTCATTTAAATGAATCGTACTAAATTAAATGCTGGCTCCCAAAGGAACATTCGGTATGTTTGCAGGCAATATTCAGCCAAAGGCTTCAACGAAAGGGAAGCAGCTCTTATATATAGGGTCATAAGGCTATTTTATGCATAAGGCATTTTTGCTTCTATCTTTACTGCTATACGAATTATATACAATAATATGAATCGGGCCAATTATTTACCGAGATATTGATTTTGAATGATGAATAGGAACATTGTAATATTCCATAGATAGGACAGGCATTAGGGTGCACGTTCTAAACTAGTCTGGGAGGAAGGATCTATAAATTTTATTTCCAATGGCGTTTATGCTCGCTTCTGCTTAAGTAACTGACAGTTGTGGACGAATAGCGCAATTGAACATATAAATATTAAAGGCAACCGGAACGTTTCTCTATCGAATAACTCTTATAGCAGTGCTTCAGTCAGTCACGAGTTAGAAAATCTGTGAAAATTACTCGAGTGCTCAGCATTGTCGCAGTGGCATTGATGAAGCACGCAGAGCTGAGGCAGCGTTTAACTATAAACCTCAACAGGATAGTAGCGCCTAGTGGATTTTTCAGTTCACTCAATATAATGAGGTATGTGCATATTGCCATGGTTTGGGCATGCCCATTTTCTGTTGTTGTTATCGGTCACGAATGCAAATTCTTGACCCACTGTCGTTCATCAGCTCTTTTCTGCTGCCCTTATCCGAGAAGCCATCTTCACAATTGTATCCGACCGCTATGGACAGCCGCTCTTTTCGCTGTTGGTGAGCGTACTTACTGAACGTACCTAATATTCGTTGTCATTGTAGCCGAGAAAATTTGTTCTCTGCTGTTATATTTGATATATGTTTTAAGGTAAAAAGAACCAGTGTAGAAAGACGTTGTCCACGTTCTGGCTAGCTGATTGACCTTTGTGCAATAAAAATGCTTTTCTACATACAAAAATGCCCTAATTTTTGGCGTCCGACATTAATATTACTAAGCATTATTTCCAATAGTAGTTCCCTTGCAGTAAAAAACGAAGTTTGTTTACACCAGACTTCAAAGCTGGTGTGCCCCTAGAATAAGTAGATAATCACACTGCCTCCGTATCATTTTACGATGACAGAGGCCCGTCAACGATAAATTGTATTTAGAAACGACATGCCCAGCTTATTTAGCTTGGGAAAAAAGAGTCGACTGAGACTTCAGAATAGCGTTTCGACCCTCTGAGAAATTGGTCAACAGTGGCCGTGTTACGCGTCCGGACGCTTTTAGCTAGGACTCGAGATAGACGAACGAAAATGTATTTTTTAAATTATTAGTTCGTTGCGGACTGAAAATAAGATTATTCGATAGAGACTATCGACGAAAAATGTCCTAGAGTAGAGATATTTCTTTTTATATGGGACAGATAACGTTGGCTTATAGAAAAAAGCAAAATTCCGCTAGACATTTTTTAATAAAATATCTAAATGTCTTCCGTTTTTATTGGATTATAGTTGGCTGGTTGTTTTTTTTTTTTTCTTTATAATTTATGGCTAAATGACTGGATGTCCTAAAGCAGTTAAATGTCAAAACTTGGTCCATCCCAAATCTCTTCATAAGCAGATGTAAAAGAATATCGAGACGTCGGCTTAAATACGAGCACTGGCATTTATCTAATCATTCACAAAGTCAGGTTCAAAAGCTTATCGATGGTGCCCATTATATTTCGCGACCATTACAAATGTATGATTTAAGGTACACATAATGGCGATTGACAGCTGATACTCAACCGTGAATTCCCTCTGTCGTCTGTTATTAAACGAAAAAAGCTCTGTACTCAACGTCCGGCTCTACGAATCGCTGATAGCCGTCATGCTATTAACGTTCAGCATATCGCTTTATGTGAGAGATTTGAATAAAGCTAATTTTAATACTGAAGTAGGACTGCCTTGTTCACAGGCCAATGGACCGGCCCAGTGCTCCAACATCTGTCACACTGCTGGACGAGCGAAACCTGCGCTAGAACTAAATGTACGGTTTATGTATCAGGCATAGATTTCGTCCCTCAGTCGGCTCAGAAGACGTGACTTTTGGCACTTATCGAGTGACAACATAGTTAGCAGACCAGGAGCAAGTTCCATAACAGCCTACGTACTTTCGTCGTCTACGAACAGACGTCCAGCTACAAGTGGCTCCTTTTATTTGACATTTGCTAGGCCTTTTTTTATTGGATGTACCAAACTATCCTGAAACAATACGGCAGACTTTAGAAAAAACTCTAGAACTCAGCCATGTAGAATTATATGTGTGGCATTGAAGTGTCTATAAATATGTTTCTGTTGGTAAAGATTATAGATGTTCTAGTAAAATGTCTTTTTTTTTTTAATTGTTGGGACAGAACGTACTTGTCCGCTCACCAACCCTTGCACCCTCGTCAAATGTCCCGAAAACAGATTACCCGTCTGTCCTTATGAAATTTGCTTGTAAATCGACTCAATATGCTGGAGGCCATGTATATACTTGTCGTTATAATGCGTGTACTCCAACATGTAAAAGTTTATAACGTACTAATTTTCGCACAGTGTACGATTGTTTGTAGTGTTAGCGTAGCTATGGAACGGTAAGTGTTATTCATGGCGTTGTCTGAAAAAGCGTCTTTGTCTGACAACGAATATTGCTGAGCGGGTGCAATTGACGGCGTATGCCACGGGAATGTGAAGGCAGGACACGTCGCCTTGTCAAACCCATTGTTACAAATTCAGTCTGTGAAGGGAGCGGTGAGGTTAGCAATATAATAAGGAGACGTCGAGGTGCGGGATATCGGTATGCATGATATAGCTGAACTAGTTCCGCTTGACTGATGCTAGGTAAAAGCAATTGTTGCAACAGTTGCCATGGTATATTGCGCGTTCTCGAACGCTGGCGATTAGTTTAGAAAGTATTGAAGAAGGAACAATGAATAGACCATTAGAGAAAAACTGACTGACGATGCGACAGTGTCAAACTAAAATGGACTGGTGTATGGTGATGGGTGATCGGCAAAGATACATAGGGAAAATGATCTATGGATGAAAAGGAAAAGAATAATAATAATAATAATAATTAATTGTTGTTAAATCGGACGCGCGCGCAATTGAATTATTCGATTGACTGGTTGGTAAGCTCTTTTTTATTCATTACATTTTGCAGGTTTCCGATTCTTTTTTTTCTTATGCTATTTTTTCTCTTTTTGCTGATGATTCTAATGAAGGTGCCGAGCTTCTGAGGTTATCGTTCGCGGACGTCCTCGAGGCTCACCTTTCGCCGCCTTCGTGCTGGCTGTACCAACGAAATCGCGATCGACGTACATCAAATCGTCGATCATCATCGTCGTCGTCAGCATCATCAGCGTCATGAACGAATACGTTGAAAGTAGTGGTTGTGGATGTTGTTGGGGGTTGTTCGTTACGTATTCATCGGTAGAACGTGACGGTAGTAGTTGTCGAAATTCATTCAATCGTTGATAGGTGATTCGTGTGGTGATTTCGTGGACGCGCGAAGGGTGCAGAGCAAGTCGAAGAGATATATGTAGTTGTGGTGATGAAATCGAAGTAAATGGAGACACAGGCAACAGATATATATATATATATAACCAAGCGTCAGAGGAGACTTACCTACGCTCTCGTTCCCATCACGTAGACGGGCTACCACGAAGACTCATCATTATTAGTACTGTCATTATTATTACTATTATAACCTGGCCTTGTTTGGTCAACGGTTTATACGGCTCGGCTGATCTAACTTTTTCTTTTTGCGAACATTTATTTATTCATTTGGATTTTGAGGCAAAGTATGACCATCAAGAAAAGGTGCGCTGACCAACTGCTATCAACACTCATTGTGTGTGTCCTTATCAATATTTTCACCTTCGTTATGTGATAGCGATGATAGCATACACAAATGTACGACTGGTCAAAAAATACGTGTAGAAGCAACTTATAGCTGCTTCGAAATCCTTTCTCTCTACCTATCGAAAATACTATGTAGAGCCTGATATACAACGAAACACAACTTAAGTTAGGTATTTAAAAACGTTGATAGGATAGGCTAAACGTAAGAAGCTAAAGCTACCGCGTTATTGTTGCACCTTTTTTTCGCTTTGTTATTGCCGCAGTGACGTTTCGTCTGCACCCGTTTCTGCTATTCAGATGCTATTTGCGCTTTACTAATCAACTGGGTTCTACCTATTTTTCTAGTGGAACACGCAATTCGAACTTTAGCTATTTGAAGGCCCTGTCAGGCCTCAGCACGGTCAGTGGTTGCTAATCTTTGACACAATTATACCAACGCTAAAAGAAGCCAATATATAAGTAAATATTAATAAAGTAAGTAGATACGATTTATACATGCATGAAGATACAATGTCATCTATTTTCAGTATTCTATGCCTATTCAAGTATGATTCGTTAGAAAGGATCTGAAAATCGGACTGTAACAGCTTATTTTTGATAGGACCTTCCTGCTTTCGATCTATGCTAGCAGACTGATGAACTCGCTGCGAGAATAACTAGTATTTATATTTTCCTCAGACGTAAGCATGATATTGCTTCTACCTAACAGAAGCTATCATACAAGCCTCGTTTGCTTCAAACACGTTTAACCAAGTAAGGCTTGTATGATAACTTATTTGCGATAATCTTGAGCCTACCTTAATCCTACTTTCTGGAACTCAAGAAAACTGCACTGACGCAAACGATTCATCATTTAGATCGGCAATATCCGCAATGATGATATTTTCCCAAGAAGTCCAACTTCGTTGTCAGTCGTATGATACCCTGTCACTTTATTTCGAGCTGACTTAATTTGGTGTTTCGAACATTAAATAGGGCGAAACAAATGGCCCATATATTTAAGTGTTGAATAATTAAAAATGGTGCTACTATGATACTTCGACTTTTACATGCGGTATCGCCGGTAGGCATCCAATCTATTAGACGGCTGACTTTCAACACGAAATGTACCGTGTGTCCGTCTATGGCCGGGTTTCGAATCTAGACTACAATGTACCTTTAAAATATAATCCCAGCTTTGTGTCTTTCACAGCCGGTTATTTAGGCAATGCTGTTGTTGCAGGGGCCGGAGTTTGATAAAGATTCCGAAATTTTCTCTATATCTATTAATATTATCTATGACTCTCACGTGTTACACTATCACAATGAAATATCGCACTTGATTCGAATAAAGACCTTAAAAATCATCATACTTGAGGGTTTGGCCATGTCTGCAAGTATTCCAAAAAATTATAAAATATATAAAACGATGTTACGCGGTTATTGAGCATCCTGTCGACGAAGCATCCATTCAAATAATACCGCCTTGGACAATGCCAAGCAATAGGTGCCCCAGCAAGCGCGTAATTAGCAGTCTAGCTCGATATTGAAACAAATGAACACGCGGAATGTTCTTGGTTTTCTGCGTACATACTAGCTCACATATTTAGCTCTTTTTATACAGCGAAGCTTTTCTTTCGATACGTTTCGACAACGCATATCGATGCATGATAAGGCGATTGCTTTGTACCGCTGCTACGATTTGAATATTTGGCAGGCGCCACTTCTGCAAGAGGAGCGATGATTAACTTCTTCCGATCTGTCGTCATTGGTGTTGCAACGGGCCGCTTACGCTATATTTAGTCATTCGCACGATATATTGGTGTGTATGTGAGTTCCAAGAGAATGGAGGAGTAAGTGGAGGGGAGGCGGCATTGGAAGAGTTCTGCGGGGTTCTGAGGATAATTGGAGTCAAATTGCTTGCGCCGCCCTGGGGCGAACGACGGCCACTACCAGCCTGACGCGCATACATACATACACACATACGTATATGACGTAGGACTTAAAGAGCAAGACGTGGAGCCATAGGCGGTTGCTAGAACGGGACATGGGATGGACACCCAAGAGTGTAAGTGACTAGGAGGCCAGGTTTGTCCCTTGTTTTGCTCCACAGTTACTGGACACTGCTGGCGATAGCACTGAGAGGCAGCAGTTGTGGTGGGCTGGTCGTCTGGCATCGAAAGGCCGCACAGCCAAATGCCCTGTGGGCTAACCACTAAGGAAAAAAATAAAGCAGGCTGCTAGTGAAAAAAGGAAGGCGTCCTGGCTGGCTAGGATTCGTTTAAGGTTTCGCACGATCGAGCCGCGCCAGTTTAACACATCGCGCTAAGACCGGTTCGCCGTCTCGGCAAAGCCGGAATAAACGGACGGCTCACTCGTAGAGTAGCTTCGATTAGAACTGTAATATCAGCCTGAATGGGAATTCGTGCAGAAAACTAGTGAAAGGCACAACCGCTATTGTGAGCTGTGCACTGGACTTAACTACCCGCCCCTTGGTGGGAACCATGTCTGAGCACTCTGCTGACTGACATTTACTTAGTACCTAATGAATGACCGAATCCGATGGGGTTCCACCTATAACTCGACCCATCCAATGACCCGTAATATTACAACGAGGATAGGACCAGCTGCAACATCGCAGGCTGATCACTTGTTCATAGGATATTGCTTCGTTGCTTATGGGTGTCGTGCGGTGATCGCGTCCATTGCCTCAAGACGAAGCAGAACAGTTTGAGAATAAACAACAATCAGGAAAAAATAAATGAAACGAAAAGCGTAGAGTTTAAGGCAAAGCTTCAATTTGAGCATGACCGATCAACTTATGCATGACTGCATCGCTTTGCCATTGAGTTGGCAGTAGATGCTGGTCACTTTATTGCTGGAACCTGATTTGAAGAAATATGTCATCGAACAAGACTTTGAGTTACAGACAGGACAAGTCCTTCATCGAAAGGGCCACTTCGCCTGACAGTTGGCTTTACCACTACTACTGGCGCCGTACGGGGATGCCGTTCGTCGTCGAAGGATGTCGGTCCTAACATACGACATGTGTATTCACTGTGTATAGCGGGTGCATCGTAACTTTCTAAGTTGTGAGATTGTCACAGGCTATTTTTCGATGTCGGATATTCGACGATTAAAGCACTGGCCACATTATTGTAAAACTGTCAGTGATCAAGCAGTCTTCTTCCGAATTTCGTTATCAGCCGAGAATGAAATAATGGTACAGTCGAGTTTGATAACAAGGACAAGGGTCTACAAAACCTTAGCGGAGCTCTTTTTTTTCTTTTTGTATAGGCTAAGGGTTTTGATTCCGAAACGACTAACGTTTCTTAAGATCATTCCTATGTCGAATTTGTCCTTCGTGCTGTCAAATCTATTAAACCTTGATCTTGCCTAGAGTCTCTTGTTAATCACTCTCATGGTATGCTATCTCATTTTGTCTGTCAAAATGGTGCTGATACCGCGATAAAGACGACCACCATGGAAGGAAGCTTCGGCGAAACTTACGTATGTGTTATTAATACACATATTTATGGTGAGACAGTCGCTATATTGGCGCGAATAGAAGCATATTCTCGAAACATCCTGAGCACGAATCGAACTGAAAATATTATACCTTAATAGCCCGATTTATATTTTACGTTTCTTAACGCGCTCATTAGATAACTTGTTATGTTCCTGGACAGAGAGCTAGCTAGTGCTATGCAAGTCTAACTCTGAATTGACAGTTGATCTAAGAATACCGTGAACTTCATAACTTAATAGAGCCAAAAAAGAGTCTACACTGGATATGGCTCTCTATTGTTTATGTTATTGATACGTTGAAGAGTTTTGCTGCATGCACTTAGCGTCTTCTTAGATAGTTACAATGCGAAGCATCCAAAGCAAAATCCCAACAATATTCGTATTATTGCTACTAATACTGATTGGGTTGGGTCCGTTCGGTATGGTCAAAAACACCATAGCCAGCTTTAGAGTAGAGAGCGGATTCGTCTTTACCCTAATGATCTTTGCGAGTTTCTTCTCCTGTTTCTGCTGGATTGTAGCGGATTAACAAGGCCCGCTAAAGGTTAGCGAGAGCTCGAATGGTAAGGTGAGCGACCAGTTCTCGAAATTCTCTACGTCGATCTTCCTCATAGCCACAGTCTTTGCCAACGACTTCTTTCAAGGAAGGCCATTCATTGAATTGGTCTTTTCTTGACGCGTACTTTCTGCTTCTTTTTTTCGTTTATCTTGTCTTTTGTTTATTCGAAAGCTAGCAGGGTCATTTGGGTCTAGCGGCAGTTCGCGAACAAGTACGGTAGTGGATCGGTGACAATCCTTCTCATAGACCTTTTTCTTGAGACCACCTCATCGCACGACACAGTGTCGAAACGATGACGACAGATCGACGAAGATGAGACGACTGCTTAAACGCCATATACGGACATCGAAGTCCACTGCCCG